ACGGAGGCGTCAACCTGCGGCAACTTCACCACCAAGATCACCTGTTGCTCCTCCTCAATCTGTTGTTTCGCCACCAAAGGCTCCTTCACCACGTTCTCCAGTAGCAGCACAACCACAACGTGCTGCCACTGAGGTCCCTAAATCTCCTGTCATTAGAGCCTCTCCCGTCATTAGAGCCACCACGTCAGTGCCACAATCCCCATTCAAGCCATTAGCTTCTAATGTAACAACAGAGAGCGCTCCAACTAGAACTCCGTATTCTTCATTTCCGCCATCTCCAAAAACAAAATTGCCAGATTCTATCCAAACTCTCATCAATCAATCATCACCATCAAAAGCCCCCCCACCATCTCAAAATGTCTTCCAGCCTAATTTAGTGAAATCCCAGACTTACTCTCCTCAAACTAAGCCTGCAGTTTCTCACCCTCCATCCCCACTAAAGCTTCCCCCATCTCAACTTGAGCTTGAGTCCAAGATTCCTTCACAAGTTGATCAGAAATCTGTTGTGGTCCATGAAACCACGAGGGCTAACACTAATGGTCATCATGTCCTGCAGACTGCTAGAAATGGAAACACAGTGGAAAGTTGGAAACAAGAAACAGTTAAAAAAGATAAAGGGGTTCAGAAGAAGAAGGTGTCTAATTCGGATGCTACAGATGACTTTGGAACGAGTGTGCTAACTCTAGCTGGTGAAAACAAGGGAGCCATAATGGAGTTAAGCCCTTCAAGGAAGACATACAGCCCTCAGAGCCTTCAAAAGAAAGGAAGCCCAAAGTCTTGGAATAGTGAGGATGATGGAGAGAAATCAGGGAATGAAAGTGGAAGGAAGGGAGATAAAATGCAAAATAAGTCCCTTCCTATGACTGCATTCATGAACAGCAACGTCCAAGGTATCAACAACTCCATTCTCCACAATGCTTCTTGCACTCACCATGATCCTGGTGTCCACCTTGTTTTTTCAAGAAAGACAAATGGTAGTAATGGCCTCCACATCAAGGGCAGCCAAAAGATCTAAAATCATCATCATCTTTTTTTTCTCATGGAGGGTCCTTTGTTTCTTTTAATATTTGAGAGAATAAATTGAGTGGTACGTCGAAAAGGACATGGATTCTGATTCTTCATGCATGGCTGCAATCCACTTCTCATGCACAAGGACCATCCTTTGGTAGGACAGAGAGATTCTATGCACAATGTTTCCATAATAAAGCTTTCTTATTGTATTGAGCATCTTCTATTCTATCTATATAATTTGTAAGTCTAATACAGAATTCGTAATTGTCTTATCATGATTTCAAATGTATTTGTACAATATTGAATACCATGTCTGAGTTTGGTTTTAGTATAGTTGCCATCAGAATTTGAGAGTTGTTCTTAATGCAACCTACAGTTTTTTTTTTTATCAAGATTACTACGAATGAGGAGATCAGTAGTTCAGATGCCTATTCTGCTCGTACATTTATTCCCATCGTATTTGGTTCACTGAAACAGAATTGCTTCTATCAAAAGCAGCTGTTTTGATTCGTAAGTTTGGGACCATTTGACATGGCCAGAATAATAAAATGTTTTTTCACTACAACACCCTCTCGAATATTACCTAGTTGATCACTAAAACCTTGGACATTTAAGGTTCAAATTCCAATCGCTGAAAGTATGTCAGACACCACTATTAAATTAAATAGTTAAGGTGCGCGCAAGCATTACTAAAACTGAAAGTATGCACAATTACATAGTTAAGGTGCGTCCACACAAACATTAGAAAAACTATATACAATTAAGCATGAAGATCATCAATTACATAGTTATGGACAAACGTTCACGTACGATTACAAATATGATATAAAAAGAAGATTCCAATTATTACCTCTGCAAAAAGTTGAAGGGAGTGGAGTGGAGGAAACGGTGACTGGCCGCCGGCCGGCAATTGATTTTGGGGATATTTGGTTGATTGATTTGGGGCTTGGGAATCAAGAATGGGCCTAATAGTGTGTTTTGGTTAAATTTTGAGTTGTTCTTACCGGCCCAAGTACACACTAATTTGCGAGTCAAAATATTCTCATCTATAACTTAAAATTTTGTAACGTATAAGTTTAGAGAAATTTTGTTCTTGTTCCACATAAGTTTTAAGGCATATTTTGTGGGTTCTGAACTAAATATATTCCTCTAGCAGCATATTTTCTGTAGAAATTAAGCAATAGAACTTGTTATGAAGTATAAAACATAATTAGTATTGTATTAATGAAAAAAAATATAAACTTATGTCTTGTAAATATTGTTATTTTTTAAAAAGTATTTACATACATTTTTTGTTACTTAAGAGTATCTGGAGAACAAAAATTATAATGATTCAAGCCACATAAATTGTGTTTTTCACCGTAAAATCTTTTGAGGATGTGAGTTTCACGAGTAAATGTTGTGCAAGGTTTGGAGAAGACGAGACTATAAATAAGCTTGGTATCATGAAAGAGCTATTGGCTTCACCTATAAAAAAGTACTTGGTCTATTTCTTTTTTGTATACATCAATATATACATATCTTGGAGAATAAGACTCCAAAATTATCATTGTTAAAGGACTCCTAATTTGAAAATAATTATACAACTTTTAAAAGTTAATTCCTAACAATCAATAAATATGTACAAATGGTCTTTCATTCAAACTCCTAAATGACATTATCATTACACTAGGTAGCCTTTTTTCTTAGAGATGTTAATTGGAATATAGATAACCTTATGTAAATTAAAGTAGTTAAAAAATAAATAGAAGCTTACAAATACAAATCTTTCTAGAGTTCAAACCGCTACAAACAAAATTCCATATTGTGTCAAAAAATTCGCAACTTAACAAATTAAAATTGCTAAAATTCAGGAGATTAATTATATGAGTGAAAGTCCAAAATAATATACTACTATAATACAAAATTTATACAAGACAGACTCTGGACACTATCTTGATTTGGATTATACCATTCTACATTTATATTGGGAAAGGGTTCGAAATATATTCGAATTTTTATTGAAATTGCTGTAACAATCTCAAACTTTATGAAGGACCTATTACTCCATGCATTATTTAATAGTGTATTTTAAAGATATATAGGTGCTTACGTAGACATAATAAATATTGCATCATTATAAATAATAATTTGTTTAGCTGGGCAGTTATATATCTTTAAAATACACTATTAAATAGTGCAGGGAGTAATAGGTCCTTCATAAAGTTTGAGATTGTTACAGCAATTTCAATAAAAATTCGAATATATTTCGAACCCTTTCCCAATATAAATGTAGAATGTCATAGGTCATGTCCAAAAATTGGGATTGATACAAAAATTTCAGTCAAAGCATATATTTCAAACTTTTTTCCCCTCATTTAACTATGGCAACTTGACATGGTCCAGTCAGGAAAACCTTTATATTTGTGGGATCTAGCTCCTCTCCATTTTCCCCAAGTTCCTACTTAGATGTATGACACATATGTTACTTAACTATTAAAGGTCTAGATTAATTATTTTCTTAATCAAAGAAGTATACTAATTAACGATGATTAAAAAAGATATTTAAGATTCCCAACTTTAGTAAGAAAATATTCATTTTCCAATTTTTTGAGAAAAAATGGATTTACTTCAATTAAATAGCATTAATCTTTTGATATAAAAAGAGTTCTTCTATAGTTTAACTCACGATAAAAAATATATACATTTTTTTTAAAAAAAATTTCTATTGTTTTGGAAAAGTTTGTCTAACTTTTAGTTTTCTTTGATATTTTGTGACAAAGTAATTTTCGATACTTTTTATTTAATATCTGAATGCTAAAAATTCTATTTTATGATTTACAATATTTTTCATCGTAAAATAACTTATTTAAATGTTTATTTTTAATTGACAAAAATTTAGTTTATGAAGAAACATTTTTTTTGGGTGAATGGAAAAACTATAGATAACGAAAATGATTTGAACTATGGTACGAAAAAATTGTGAGATGATTTTTTTTATAGCAATAATTATTAGATAGATTTAAATGGTAATATATATTCTTTTAATCATGATTAAGGTATTTGATTACTTAAAAATATGCACCATTGATATTTAAATAATACAAGTGTCATACATCTAAGTAGAAACTTGGGGAAAATTGAGAGAAGAAAAATGGAGAGGAGCCGGATCCGCATGTTTTCATCTATCAATCTAACGAATATTCTCTTGTTAAATTTATTTGTTTTATTTTACTGTTTAGTATGTTTTAAAAAGGAATGCTACTTTAAATATTTAGTACTCTCTCAATCTCAATTTAGTTTGATAATGTTTTCTTTTTTAGTTAGTTTTAAAATTTTAATTTTATTCTTATTGAAATAATTTATAACAACATATATATCTATGATTTGTTTTAGTTTATAAATATCTTCTTCTTTTTTTGCCATGTGAGTCAAATCATGATATGAAATCATATGTAATAAAATTGAAGTTTTGTTTGGACGTGTTGAAATTTTAAGTTGTATTATTTGCTCATAAATATAAAAACCCCATAAATTGTGAAAACTGTCAAAGTTGTCTCAATTATTCAAATAAGCAAAAGTTCATGACAAAAGTGTAAGACACTGTCACAAACCTATTCTAATCTTACCAAATAAGCAAAAGTTCATAAGAAAAGTATAATCCACTATCACAAAACTATTTTAAAAAAATACAATATTTAATGGTCGAATTTTATCTTGGTGAAAGGGTAAAATTGAACATGAGTGGTAGTCTCTTACTCTTCACTTTGAGTTGTTTGTTGTTCAATATCATTAGTAAATATATCATCATATGAATATTTCATAAATATTTCATCATTCCTTTGATATTCTCACCAAAAATTATATAATTTTTGCATTTGAAAAAATGTGAAATGATCATGATATGAAATTTCCAAATTTTGCAGAATTTGAGATTTAATCTCATGATTTGAAATCACGAGATGAAATCAAATGTCCAAACATTGATTTGAAATTATAAGATGAAATCGTATGTCCAAACAAGCTCATTTTGATCTCAATAAAGAAAGAGAAACCATTTGAGTAACTGTAAATTTTCTTTATTTGAAAGGCAAATCATATTCGAAAATTTTTCCAGAGATGGCTGCAGCAACTGCAGCTGTGAAAGTAGGGCTACTCGTTAAGGAAGAAGCCATTTGTTGAACTAAATGTTGTTGTAATGAATTTGTGTCAATATCTTCCATGAATTTGTTAGAAAATGTTGGATCTGTTGTAACATCTTGGTTGACTAATGGTACTGTTATTTCAGTTTGGGATGGATGAGGATGGTTGTGTTCTCCTTCATATACAGCTACTAAAATTGATGGATCTTCAATGCTTCTTTGTACCTATAAAAGTCGAGAGTTGTTCAGGATCATATAAGGAGATCAACTCTTCTATCCAATACCAATGTGGAAATCTAATTTTCTCTGTAACGATATAAGCATTTAGTTGTGGTGGTCTTAAATTTCAATGTGATATCAAATTAGACAAAGATTTTGAATTTGAGTCTCATTTGTAACTGTTATAAAAAATAATATCCTACACATTTGGACTATGAAAAAGAATTAGATTGCATGTGAAAAGGCGTATTGAAATTATTATACACGTTGGTTGAGATGAACTTACTGAGGTTAGATCGCATGTGAATAGACGTGTTAGAATTATTATACACTTTGATTGAGATTAAATTTACTGAGGTTTAATCGCATATGAAGAGACGTGTTGAAATTATTACACACTTCGATTGATATTGTACTTACTGAGTTTAATTAATCACATGTGAAAAGACGTGTTGAAATTTTTACACTTTAATTGAGATTAAACTTATAAAGGTTTGGTCGCATGTGAAGAAACGTGTTGGAATTACATCCCTCCAATATTCAAACCTCAGTAACTAAGTGCGTGTGATCATTTGACCATACTTGACAAACTTATACGATAATAATTCTTTTCCCTCCTAAAATTAAATCTTTAATTATTTTCAAATAAAATTTATGTTCAAACGTAACTTCAACTTCTAAAATACTTAATTTTTAATCCATCATCATTATGGTTTGATTGCATGAACTAACCTTCTTCTTGACTGGGCATGTTGGTGCAAATGAACACTTATAATATGCTCTAGGATAAGGGTTATCTCTTGTAACTTTTTGACCATATTTTCTCCAGTTATATCCATCCTTCACCACCTGTAAATTAACCACACCAAAAAAAAAAAGTTATTAGCGGACCGTCTCTTTATGTGATACTCTTTTATTATAACGCGTCCCATAACTTTTGGGACCGTCTCTTTTAAAGTCAATTTATACCTTTCGTATGTTTTGAAAATACAATGAAACATCTCTATGACGATATTGTTTGATTGAATTATTTTTATTGTTATAGAGAGGGTGTTTGATTGTATGTTTGAAATTGAGAAATATTTTGAACTTACTGAGGTTTGATCGGATCGATTAGTTTTGACACAAACAGTTGAAACATTGGTTGTGATTTCTCTTGGCCTCTTTGGTGATGCTTCTTCAAAATTATTCACACAACACTCTTCTTCAGCTTTTCTTTTCCTTGGTAATAATAAATTGGAATTGTCCTCTTCATTATGAGTAGAGTATTTTTGCAGCAACTCAATTAGGTGAGTTTGCAAGGAATTGTAGTTCTCACACAAATTTGTGAGCATTGTTACTAACTTCTTGTTCTCCTCTCTCATCCTAATCAATTCTTCATCCAACGTCTCGCGCTGCATAAAAATCAAATTACTAGTTCAATGATATAAAGAAATTAACAAGTAAGTTATCTAAAATCAATGTAAAGAATTTTTATATTGTTGTAGCAGGTAATAATAACAATAAGAAAAATAACAACGAAAATAATAATACAAAGTGATAATAATAACATACTATAAAAATTTTAAAATATTTTATTATTATGAAAAATTAAAATATATTTAAATCTACCTACCGGACTTGTATTGGTGTTGTGCAAAGAGAGGTTTGTGTTAAGGTCAATGGAAAAACTATTGTCTCCCAAACTTGTATCCATTGAATCTATAAGAAAAATTGTCCTTATTGATTGTGTTGTTTTTTTTGTTGAATAGAATGAAGAGAAGAAATGGGAAAATGGATTATTTATAAAGGAAAAAAAGTGGAAGTAGTTAAATTGATTTTTGGTTTTTTTGTGGAAGAGAAAGTGGGAGGAAATTGAGGGTACATAAAAGTATATATAGGTAATTACCTAATTGGCTATTCAAAGACTTTCACTACAAGAGTGGACATATAGAAGGCAAAGACTGATGAAATTGAATAGTACTTTAAAGAATGTCTATATATTCAAGTCTTGGTCAATTTTCAATTTAATTGCTTTAATACTACTCCCAAATTATATAGTTTTTCTTTAAAAAAAAATTCTTTTCATCCAAACAAATTCTCAGTATTGTTGTGTGAATTTTCTTAGACAAGAAAGATTCTTTGCTTTTAGTAGTTTGAAAAATTCCAAGATTAATTATTATTTTAATCAAAATTAAGTTAAGGACTATTTTTCAACTTTATACGCTATGTTATCGAGTTATTCATTTCATTAGCTTTATCACTTGAGTCCAAAAGAATCGAGCTTGTCAATCTTTTGGCACAAAATATCAAACATTAGCGGTGTGTAATCTTACTTTTCATGATTGATTGATTAATTTTTTTTAAAAATAATTTTTTTTTAAATAAAAAAATGACTTTCTTAATAAAAGTTGAAAAATAAGTGTCGTTGTTTCCTTCCACACTGACAACCACCTACCTCCAGCTCTTTGTACAAATAATTATTAAGATAGCTTTGTGTGGGAATGGACTTAAAATATTTCATAATCAGAAGTCTTGAGTTTGAAAGAGCCCACTCAGGTTTTTTTTAGTAAACTTCTATATGTATAAACTTTCTTGGAATTTTCTAAAACTAGTCTATCTTGCTAGTGCATTTATTTCGTTTGGAATGAAGAATATTCAATGCTTATACGCTAACATATTTAGCTCAAATATTATTATTTTTTAACAATCCTTTTGAATAATCAACATCAACAGCTCTTTTTTTTTTCTATCTATATAGATATGACATACAACCATTATAGTGTCACGATCGTGGTTTGAATAAGTTGGCGTTTTTAAAATTATTCGAAATAATTTTCTAAATTTTTTATTTTTTTAAATGGTTAGTTTGCTTTTTGGAAAATAATGGTATATTTAAGTTGCTTTGATAATGATTAATGATGATGAAAATGGCAATCCAATTATCAACGGTTGACAAAATTATAGTATAATTTCACAATATTTATGATCATTTTTGCCCCTTTGCCTTTTATAAAAGGCATGTTTTAACGACCTGATTCCGTCGTTACGGAAAAGTCAACGGAAAATTTTTTTGGGTCGGAAAACTTTTTGGTAGTAACTTGGGATTTTCTAGCCTAGTCCAGATTTGGACGAAATCGAAGTCATGTGAGTCTAGGGAAATCTGGTAACAAATGGGAGATCTAATTATGGTTTTGATCACATGAGTAGATAGCTAAGATGTTAAGGAACCCGTACGACTTTACGGAATTGAATTCGGGCGAGTAGAACTCCCGAAACTGATCATAGCATGAACGGGTAGTTTTTGAGTGTCATGGGTTGAAGATGTGTTGTGAAATGGGGGTTTGGAATTCTTAAAATTGTTCACTGGTTCCGTGCAAGCCGTTGTGGCGGGATTATTTCCACCTGGGCGGGGCCGTTGTAGCAGGATGAGGTCCGTTGTGGCAGGACAGTCGCGATTTAAGTCGAAAATAAACCCCAAAAACGTTTTATTCTGCACTTTTCGACTTTGAGGACTAAGGAACGACCCAGGCGAGTTCTTGACCATTTTTCACCATTTTTAAGGCTAAAGATAAGGTTTTAACTCCCCGAATCCGTTTTTCGATCCGTAAAATGTAAACAGTGGGTAATTATCGATGGGGGAGGGTTTTGATCTGGAAATTATGGTGGAAAAAGCCATAATCTTGGTATGGGGATCAAGGGTTTGACCTAGGATTGATATTATTGTTTAATTATAATCTGGGTAATTAGGTGTTGTTTATTGATCCTCGCATTATTATGATTGTTTGTAGACCAAGAACAAGCGAAAAATAATCTGGAAAGGGAAGAATCAAGTTTCTTAGGGGATTCAAGTTTTGTTCGAAGTAGGTGATAGTTGTGATTTCATGTTGTGTGATATATGTTTGTACTTGCTTCATTATAATGCATATATGTATGCGAATGTTGCATTATTGATCACACTAATCATGAATGAGGATAATTGAATAATTGAATGCCATGAATCATGACTTGATTGTATGATTATGAGAATGTACTTGTGATTGTGATTGTGGCTTATTGAATGGAGTGGGTGCTACGTTCCGACACACTAAGTGAGATCGGTTGCCACGTACCGGCATAAACATTGAAACGGGTGTCACGATCCGACACACTAACTTGGATCGGGTACTACGTACCGATACACTAACAATTTGGGTATGGGTTCCATGAGAGGACCATTGAATTGGGTTCTGTGAGAGGACCATTGATTTGTGTTGTGTATCTACTTGTGATGATTACGTTCATATCTAATAATGATTGATATTGGAAGACTGTATGTTGCTCTAAAATGATAACCAATGTGTATTATTGAGAACGTGGAATGCTACATTGATCCTGAAAAGATGACTAATATTGTATATGTTCGGTATATGCTTGTTTTATAATGTTGTGGTTACTTGCATGTGTTTCACTTATTGGGATAGTCGCGTGATCCTACCAGTACACTATGGTTGTGTACTGATAATGCACTTGCTCTTTCTTTGTTGAGTACATGGCTTCTTCAGGCGGCTACTGACAGACCTCATTTAAGAGATCACTGATCGAGACCGGATTCAAGGGTGAGCCAGTTCTTTCAGGCTGCCATGGATCCTTCGTACTTTGTTTAGTCCACTCTTTTCAGACTTAGACATTGTTTTAATAGTTGTTTAGTTTCGAGATTGTACCCCTTGTTCTTAGACTTGTCGTTAGTAGAGTTTTGGTACATTGACTTTTAGGTTCTAGGGGTTGAATTTCCGCATTGGTTATGTTTCGTTGATTAGTTGAACCCTTGGAGTTTATGGGGACTCCATTTTTATTGTCCTTTAAACCTGCTTCCGTATCTTTAAATACATAGTTTTTTGTTAAGTTATTTAGTCTGGGTTGTAGTAATGGTTCTCCCACCGGAGGGTTAGTGTGGGTGTCAATCACGATGGTCTGGGTCGTGACACATGTGGTGCTTGGGTGCCGACCACACTTTAGTTGCTTTGCACTCGTAAAAATAAAAAAAATAGATAAAGACTCATAATATTCATTTATTATTTAAAATAATACTTATATGAGATGCTCCATGACATATATACCATTTTAGTAATTATAAATAAAAAAATCAACGACAATAACAACAATAAATTGTATTCTGTAGATCATCAAATTTTATTACCGAATGCTTGAATTTCTTTCTAGAAATATTTATCAATATTGGGAGTTCACCGAGCTATTTCAGGGTAAAGATATCTCTAAAATCTAGCCTAATCAAGCTACAATTGCTTGATCTTATTAAATTCAGTCATTTAATCATAGCTTATTTTGTATTTATAATTTTCTTTGCTCATATATTTCACCATCTCGATCGATTTAATTCATGTATCCTTAAACCTCACGTATAAATATAACTATCCTTTTAGGAGGTCAACACATACAAGTTCAACTAATTGCAATTGTATTATTTACCTAATTATTTACTCCATTTAGGTAAACTAGGGAAAGAACCCTCTAAATGTTGATGTGGCAAAGAAAATCTAGACACGGTCTCTTTTAGACATGTGGGGATGAATAAAATAGAAAATAAGCTCCCAACTATTTGATTTAATTGTGTATTTTTATTTTTCAAGCCAACTAATTAAAAAGCCTCGACTGTAACTCCATCGTTTTAGCCAAATAAAATTAATTAATTTAAAATAATAAAGTACTAACTATGTATTTTTTAGATGCAATGACTATTTATTTCAATTTTAAAAACTTTAAATTTAGTCATATAAAAATATATTTATGCAAAACAATGGAGTTGCTATTGTGTACATTTTCACTTCTTGTTTAGTTGCAATAACTATATGTTTCAATCGTTATGAAGGGCTCTGTTAATTTTAGTGAAATGAAAATGTTTAGCAAAATAATGAAGTTTCAATTATATAATTTTTATTTATATATTAGTCAAACATAAGGACTCTCTGTTCCAACAATATATTTATTTTGGGCAAAATTTGTAAAAAAAGAAGAAGCTATAATTTCATTATGCTTAGGAAAATATTTTTTTTCTAAGTGGAGTTATAGCCTATTTCTTAAAAATAAAAAATTTACAAGTCATAACTACAATTAATAATGTTAAATGTTAATATTCTAAATATAGTCATATAAATTACAGTACACCAAAAATGATCTGTAGCCGGTAATTAATTAACGACAATAGTTTAGTTATTGTTAAATATGTACTTTTAGTGATAGTTAACACTCTTTGTACGGGGCAAGGCGTAAGCCTCAAGACACGGGGCATAAGTCCCATAGAAATTATATTTATATGAGATAAGTATTAATAATCAATAATGAAGAAAAAAAGTATTATAATTACTATTTGAGAAATTTCATTACACCAATAATAAAAATATGATTTAAAGCAAAAAAAGGTTAAAAAAATAATTAAAACCGCCTAGGCCTACGCTTTTTACGCCCGGGACTTACGTTTTTATGCTCGAGGCTTACGCCTCAAATTTTAGAACATACGCCTTATGGATCTACGTCTTTAATTTACGCTCCGGAGCATTTTTGATACGCCCCGCCCCGAGACTCACCCGGAGACTCGCCCCAAAAACATTTTTGAAAACACTGGCTTATAACAACATTGGGCCAAATAACAATTAACTAATATCAGTAAAAGATATAACACTTTTTGTTAAAATTTATACATATATTATCGTTAAAAGCTATTTTTATTATAGTGTTAGGATCGAAACAAGTATTGAGTACTATATGAAAGAGGAGAAAAAAGTTGGTAAAAGATGTGAAGTTCGTGGGAGCACAAGTCAAATTGTTAGTCAGCCATGAT